CCCCCCGGCAGCTCCAGCTCCCCCCACACACCTCGATGTCGGAGATGGCAGAGTGCAGGGTGCAGGACCAGTTGACCAGACGTTTGCTGCGGTAGATCACCCCCTCCTCGTGCAGCCGGACGAAGGCTTCCTGAACAGCGTAGGACAGTTTCTGCGGAGCAGCGAGAGGAGAGGTGAGATCCCGGTTCCCTGCCGGAGAGACGTCGGACCACACATCCCCGTGTCCTGCGCCCCGCACTGCTACCCAGGGAGGGAGATTCTCCTACGTGCGAAGCAAGTTCCCACAGGGCCGGTTCTGACTGGGATGGGGATCAAGGGATATTCTCTGCATTGGAGGCGGGGGCACACCACTGCACAGGGCAGAACTGGGGAAAGGCGGGGGGGGGAGGTGATAGAACCTGCATGGACCCACCTCCAGGGCCAGATGGGAGCTGGCGCCCCCTAGAGGACACATTTCCTGGGTCCCATTCCCCACCCCTCCGACCTAGTCAGTCCCTGCCCTGGGGCCGGATGGGAGCCGGTGCCCACTAGAGGGGACAGGCCCCTGCCCCATTCCCCGCCCCCCTGAGCCAGCCAGTCTCCGCCCTGGGGCCGGACGGGAGCCGGTGCCCCCTAGAGGGGAAGGCCCCACGGCGCACGGCAGAGCGTACCGGGTCCATGGTGAAGCAGGCTCTATCCCAGTCCATGGACGAGCCGAGCTTCTTGAGCTGATGATAGATCCTGTCGCCCTTCCTGTGGGGAGACGGAGGAGAATCAGGGCGGCGCTGGGGGCGCCGTGCTGCAGGGGCTCTCCCTGGCAGCCGAGGCAGCGATAGGGGGCTGTGCTGGGGGTGGGGACACCCCGATCCCGGCACTCACTCGTTCTTCCATTTCCAGACCTCGCGGACGAACGCCTCCCGGCCCAGGTCGTGCCGCGTCTGCCCCCGCTCCCGCCACAGCTTCTTCTCCACCACCACCTGCGTGGCGATGCCGGCGTGGTCGCAGCCCGGGTTCCACAGCGTGGTCTCGCCGCGCATCCGGTGCCTGCCGGGACACCACAGCCACGGTGAGGGGCACTGGCAGAGCTGGGGGGAGCCCAGGGGGCTGCGGGTCAGGAATGAGGGGCACGGGCAGAGCTGGGGGGGGTGGAGGGGGCTGCGGGGGAGGGGGGGGGGGGCACGGGCGGGGCTGGGGGGGCCGGGGGCTGCAGGGCAGGCGTGGGGGGCGTCTCACCAGCGGGTCAGGGCGTCCTGGATGGCGTTGGTGAGCGCGTGGCCCAGGTGCAGCGAGCCGGTGACGTTGGGGGGCGGGATGCACATCATGAAGAGCCCTTT